ATTGTATTTTTACATATTTAGTTAAAGATTTGGTTGGGAAAAGATAATTCCTTCTATTTTCAAAGTGGGGAAATCTTTGGATAGTTATTATGCGTGTGGGGAAATTTTTTAATTTTCCGGCAGATTCTGCACCTCTGCTGGCCTGTCACAGGCAGGCCAGGCAGGCCGCCTGGCCTGTCTAATTTTTCTTCGATATAAAACTTTTACCGCATAATTGGGATTTATTGCTAGAAAAAAATTCAGTTGAGTCAGTTTTCAAGAATGATATTTGAATATAAAGAATTTGACCAATACTTGAGAATAAATATTGACGATATATATAAATGATCAAATCTATTACTAATATGAAAAGGTTATTACCATAATGAAGAGGTTCAATAAGTAATGGAACCTCTACCCCTCGAAAAATTTGTTTTTTCCTACCCAAAATTAATTGAGAAGGGTTTCGAAAGTGATCTCTGGTAGAGTTAGGTCTGTTACTCCTCTTTGATCTACACTCAGGTCGTTTGAAACAATCAATTAGTGTATTATATCCCATTGTCGATGATAATTAGATGTATTTAGCCATCAATATGATAGTCGGCTATATTGATTTTCATATAGTTTGATAGAAATATTTAAGTGTTCTGAAATGCTAGTAACACGTTAAAAGAAAGGAACTAACCATTAAAAAACGTCCAAGAAAAACTTTTCAGCGGACTTTATTTTAAGTACATTTCTTGACTGATATTTCGCTAGTTTTGATTAGAGGAAGTAAAGTCTGGATAAAAACTAAAATCATCTATATAGACCGGCATTTAGTATTAAGTTGACTTATGTGAATTTGGAATCTGTTTATGAACTTTTTTCGTAGAAAATCACTCTAGTCCTGCTCAGAATCAAGTCGAAAAATGAGTATCGACAAAAAAGTGTATCAGTAGTTTAAGCAGACGCCATGTTGTGCTATAGTGTTATTGTGCAGCTGTAGAAATTTTTTCTCGTGCTGAAACAACTTTTCGATGTGATTCTCTTTTTAACTTAACCCTGGGGATCTGTGATGATCTATTCCACGAAAAAAATCAATGAAAATATTGTAAAGTCACAAAAGTCGTCTCAGCGTTAAATACTAATTCATAACATGACCTTAGCTTTGATCCAAATTATACTTCTTCTGATTATAATCTACGAATATTTCAATTAAAGACATTCACAATTATGTCTGGGGACAAGTTTTCATTGGACATTTTTCAGTAGCCAGTTTGCTTTTTTTTCGATATGTTGTTGGCATTTCAGAGTTCTTAAAAGCTTTTATCAAACTACACGAAAATTAGACGAATTGACTATCATAATGATGGTTAAATCGACCTGATTATCATCAATAGTCGGATATAATATACTTATTCATTATTTTAAGTGATCCAAGACAATGTAAATAATCGCCATAGAGCCAATTTCACCGCCCATCACTTTCGAAACACTTGTGAAATGGTTTTACGTAGAAAAAACCAAATATTTCGAGCGAATCAGTTTTATTATTGGATGATTCGTCTTTTCTATTTGTCACTATTTGCTCCAGAAAATGTTTGAGTCTCAGCTAGTTCAGCTGAAGCTGAACGTTTTCTTTGTATTAAATTTGGTAGCTACTGCACGTAGTCCTTCTCTCGATTGTGGTACTATGAATGACATTTTTGTCTGCCAGATCCATCCAAAATATTCTCGAACAAGAACAAGATTGTTTTCCTGCATATTGGTATCGTTTTATTTCTTTAGTTTTCTAGATACCAATGCTTTTCAATTCATATTAAACGTAGAGAAAAAATCCATACTGTCAACACCTTTATAATGTGCGCACCTCCCTATAGTGAACAGTTTTAGTTGGCTTTGAGTAGTTTCTGCTCGAAATCGGTGACTTCCTAATGAAAGCCTCCTTATAATGATATATAAATGTTTGTTTTCTGACTTTGACCTACTACAAAAAAAAGTGCCTGACGATAGCGATTTTCGTTCGACTTCTGTTCTCATATACTCTGATGTATATATCAGAAGGGAACATCTCTGTATAATGAACACTGAAATACACCCATATTCAAAAGGTTCCCGGATTGTTTTTATTTCATAAAAATGAAATGAACTACACTCATGAGTTTATATTTTGGGTGTGAGGTGTGGGTGTAGGTGTAAGTCTAAAAGAATACCAGACTTACACCTACACTCACAACCTACACCCACACCTCACACCCAAAATATAAACTCATGAGTGTAGTTCATTTCATTTTTATGAAATAAAAACAGTCCGGGAACTTTTTGAACATGGGTGTATTTTATTGAATGTTCACATCAGGAAACTTTTATTTGTATCATCTAAATTGATTCTATTGACTTGTTGAACTTTCTACGATGATTAATGCTAAATTATATCTTATTATTACTATGATATTTGATTTAAAAAAAGTAGACAGGCCTTGCCAGGCAGGCCGAGCGAAACGACAGGCAGGCAGGCCAGGCCGAAGAAAAAAGATGACAGGCACAGGCAGGCCGGGATATATGTAGGCCTGTCATAGGCAGGCCAGGCCTACAAAAAGTGAGCCTGGTTGGACCTCTGAAAACTAATACAAAAGATATTACATAAATCATTTGTTATAGACAATAATTCAAGGCAGAAAAAAATGCGACTTTACTTTCGTTGCATTGATATCGTCGTTATACTTTACTTTCTTTCAATTGTATCTTAAAAAGCTCAAATCCATCGAGATCGATCAAAATCTAAGAAAACCAATTAACAAATTGAAAAATTGAACCTAAGAATTTATTCGTATTCAGAATTCTAATTAAATATACACTAAACTACGGAATGTTTATCGAAGAGCCATCGATTGAAAACCGTTAAGTTGTTCCATTTCAAAGTCAACGAATAAATACTTAAGACTCGGTGCATACATAACTCTAATCAACTTTGCCGGATTTCAATGCATTACGATGTAACCATTCCAGAATCCAATGGGACTCAAAAACATTCGTTCCAATCCTTCATCATATTAGAGTTATCAATTTACTATTTTCTGTTATATTCAGCATAAAAAGCATACTATTTATTTTATTGAACTAAAATTGACTAGCGCTGCCTGTTTTATTGTGTGTTGACCAGATGTGTCAACATTTTTCTCATATCTTTACTATTTGCTTTACTTTTTTATTCATTAGTATAATGAACTATTAGAAAATAAATTCTATTGTTTCTCTTACGATAAACTTATTCGCACACCCCAATCTGATTCACTACAATCAGCGAGCATCTGATGAATATTCATGATATCTGATATAACAGTATTTGAAACCGATAAAAACTGTAGCTATTGAAATGACACTGCGCTATTACTCTAGAAACTTGAGGTGCGTTTTATAAAATCGCGATTTCCTTCAAGAATTTTGCCCGTGGTCATGTCTGTTTTCTTAGTCAAAGAAGCTAATCAGAAGGTAAATGTACAGTCGGAAGTTTACATTAGATACTATCACATGGAAATACTGGAAATATTTTTTAAGGAAAATCATCAAAATTGTGTTTTTCTTGCTTTCAAAAATACAAAATATACGAATCATTTTTATGTAAATGATTCTTACATCGCCATTTCTAGAAAAGGATGCGGACGAAAAGGTCTTTTCATGTAATACCGTTACGTGATGATAAAACCTTTTTAGACACCTGAGACTTTAGCCAAAAAAGATCGTTCTTATAGGATAAGTAGAGTTTGATAAGCTACATTGAGTGGCATTTAAACAAAAAGACATCATGATAGATCATCAAAATCCAAGAAAGCGTTACTTATTCAATAAATTTCTATTACTTGTAATTGTAATATTTTTACTGAAATAATTTGAGAGAAAACTACACAAAAAAAAATAAAATACTGAGCTTTCAAATTATTTAGGGTGGGTGTGGAGTGTGCATGTGAGTATAAATGAATGGTTGAAGTACACGCACACTCCAACTCCACATCCTTATTCTATTTTTGAATTGTATTTATATGCATCGAACTAGAACAATAAATTAGAGCATAACAACAGACACCATATTAATATGAATCAAGAGACAAAAAAAACGATAAATATCTGAGAATTTCATACAGTAAAATTGGAAACGATTCATTTCGAATACCAATATGAATCCTTAATTTATTTTTCTCTCATAAGGTTGCATTAATCTAAACGTTTCATAAGTTCGATTCGATTGGAAAACATATAATCACTCTTTGTTGATTGTATAGTTAATCATCGGTTAAGAGAATTGATATTGATCTTTCTTTTCAAGTGTCTATTGATACAGTGAATTATCAGAGTTCTACAATAGAATTCAGTGACAAATGAAGACTGAATTTAATTTTGTTTTTGTCACTAATATTTGAAATATGACATTGATTTTCTTCGTTCTGTATTTGTGCCAGTTACAGACTGAAGTCAATGTTGATAAGACTTTCGGATGGGATGGAGCTTATTCTTGCATCTTTTTTTTCTTGTTTGCTTTTTTGCTGCTGTGTTTTCTAAAGAAAAGTGAAGGTTGATATACGATAAAGTATTCACTCACCTATAGAACCATTAGAAAATAATACGTCGTCATGACAAAGAGCTGGTCGTAAAAAATATAGTTAGGTGACAACAGAACAAAAAAGTATTTTTATGTAAGAAAGAGAATGATATTAGTTTTTCAAATAAAGTATTTTAAAGACGCTAGTTTTTTTTCCCGTCAAGCCTATTAAAAGAATTAGATGCTGTTCTTTTTTCCCGTTGCGTCATTTTTTTTTCTTTCAACATAATGTTTTCCCCTTTTTCAGAAAAATATTTTACATATATTAGTTTTTAAAAGTCATTTGATGTTTAACTTGAGCAGAGAAACATCTGTATTGGCTTGTTTTTTATAAGCAAAATAATCTATCAATTGTGATAAAACTTTACTATTATGCATGTGTGTGAACTTTTAGATGAGAATGTTCGCTAGGCTATTTATTCTTCTTGTTTTTGAATGTTCAATGATTGTTCAATGTTATCCGTATGGTGCACCATCCAATACTTGCGGGACAATGATGCCATCGCATGGAGTCAACTCAATGTCATGTCCGTCGACTTATGTGATCGAAGCAAACAAGTATCAATATAGTAGCGGTGATACTATTCAAAGTTAGTGATTCAATCCATCATTGCCTTCTCGACAAATTTATTTTTTTTCAGTTACTGTTCGGGGTACAACGAGTTCCAACCTTTTTGAAGGTGTTCTTTTGGTTGCTAAAGATGCAAGTAGTCAAAACATTTTAGGCAGTTGGTCATCGACTGATTCATCAGTTAATGTTATTTCTTGCGATGGTACATCCTCAAATGGAATTACACATTCATCATCAACCACTAAATCTCAGATTCAAGCGACTTGGAGTTCTTCATCGATGATCCCTCAAGGAAATGTTGTTATCAGGTAAGTCTTTTTGTCTCTACGATTAGTATTCATCAATAAAATCAAAGTGAATAACTTCACCTTACATTATTTCATCACTTATGTAATTTCAATTTCATTGTTTGGAAGGAAACAGGATGTTTATCATTAACGATAAGAAATTTTATTCTGATATATGATTTGATGCAAATATTGTTCGAAAATGACACGATTAGTTATTGAAAGTTTGTGATCTAGTTGATGACATTGAAGAAATGTCAAGTGTTTTGAAGAAGACTTATGAAATAACTAGCATTTTTTTCTAATGTTATTGGTAATATTATCATATCTTGGGCGTTGTTGTACTGAATCTTACAGCTTGAAAATAATTTCTCGTTAATCAACAGAGTTAAATTTTTCTTGTTTATATTACAATTCATTTCGATAGTTCCAGATAGTTCATGCCATTTAGCATAGTTATCTGCTATTAAGAATTCTCTTTGTTACCTTTTTTCATTGATTCAATTGCTGACATTTTATATTCAATCTCTATGTTTATGTTTTCAGTTAGAACAAGGCAATCAAATTATTTTAATAAGGTCATTTTGACAACAGAAAAATGAAAAGTATTGGTTCTGTTCGAAAAGTACTACCTCTTAAGATTTCTATCTATTGAGAATTGGTATTTTATCTTTCGTAAAGTAATCGACATAAGGAGTGACACTAAAAGTGTCTTTGATTCTTGTATTCAATGAATTTCTTTTTTCAGATCGATTAGTGTATCACTTGTGTTAAGGTCCAGCTTATCTTATTCTGTTTATTTATCGATATAACGGTTTGAATTGGTATAGAAGCACCAAACAACAGTCATACACACATCCAAAATAGAAATCCATTCGATCAGTTTTACGTCTCGATGTAGATTGTCTTGTTCACGTTGTGAATTACAATTAATTAGTTGATACATGTTTTCTCATTGACTTCAATAAACAAATTGTTTTATGAAAAGACATTTCAGAGAGATGAATTGTCTTTCTCCTACAGTGAGAAACGAGTCACGAATTTTCTAAGAAAAACACAATTGTGTTATTTTCGAATGATACTTTCATCAAATTGAACGTCAGAATCAAACTCTTCATCGTTGGCGCTTATTGATCCGATTTTATTTGAATCAATGAAAATGAGGTTAAAAGCAATTCAAAACCAACTAAATCAATGGTAAAATAATAGAATCAGTTGTATTTATCTTTTTCAATTAGTGGAAACGCAAGCTTTGCTAGGATCATTTTATAAGTTTAGTTTTTATTGATCACGGTTTGAATGATGACTCTTTGAGAGAAGAAAATGTTTTATAACTCTAAATGAATTCTTAGGGCAACTATCGTTCAATCATACAACGTATTCTACGTCAATTGCTTCAGCATTACACTAACTCCTCAAAATGTAGGTCATTCAATCGGTTGAAGAATCTCCTCTCTCAATAATTTACGATATGTTCTTTAGATGTCTTCGACAAGCTCATCTGACGGTTCATGTACAACTATTACTGCAGCTTCTCAATCAATTAGTGTAGGATTCAGATATCATTGCCATACTCTTAGAGGTTTTTGAAATTGGTCTGTTATTTTCCATTAGACTTCAATATCATCAGTGGATACTACCACTGCAATCAATTCTCAAATGACTGGTGCAGCATTAAATCTGAACTGGACATATTTGGATGGAATAACAACTATTTCCATGGCTACCAACAACCTTGGAACATCTCAATGGCTCGGTATTGGCTTGTCGCTTGATGATAGAATGGTATAGGCGAATTGAAGTTTTTGTTTCATTTTCTGACTTCCTTTTTTTTTGTAGGGTGATGATCATGTATTTGTGTGTCAACGCTGGAATGATGATACAATTCAACTTCAACGTTTTATCAATCCCGGTGGTTATTCGTCTCCAACCATAGTTACTGCTGACTCAAATTATGGTGGTATATTTCAAGTAACCCGGGTAGCTTTGAATAATGGTGTGACCCATTGTGAATTTACGCTGTCAAATTTTACTACTACAATGGGTCGACGAAGAAAACGGAGCATTTCTCTACTTTCACAAAGTATACAATATCGTATTCTTGTGGTCGTAGGACATCTGGATAGTTCAAGTAAGATATTTTTTTTTTATCATCAAAAATCGATTCGACTTATGTCCATATTAACAACATAGATTCATTATTACAACATTTCTCAGTAACTGTAAGAACTCAAATGATTCAACTCAATCAATCGGGAACAATAACAGCGAGCAACATTGACGGATCAGACAATGAAGTACTTTTTTTACGAGCTCATGGTATTATTATGATGTTTATTTGGATGCTGTTTATTTCAACAGGTATTCTTATCGCTCGATATTTTAAACAGTCTTGGCCCGAACGAAAATTTTGTGGCAAAGCGATGTGGTTTGCGGTTCATCGATTAGTTATGATTTTCTCTGCAATAATGACGTTGATTGCATTTGCAGCTATTCTTAAGTATAAACACGGTACATGGGTTTCACAAAATCTCTCACGTGAATTTGCTCATTCAATTATTGGTGTGCTTGTTGTTGGTGCTGCTATTATACAACCGACGATGGCTCTATTTCGATGTCAACCTGATCATCAACATCGATTTATTTTTAATTATGCACATGCTACAGTTGGCATCGGTGCTTGGATTCTTTCGATTGCTACTATTTTTCTTGCTACGCTGTTTTCTATATCTAATTCTGTAATTAGCAAACCTTGGCGAATTGTTGTGGCATGGGCGGTGATAGAGTTTGTTATATTGATTGGCTTTGAGTGTCTTGAAATATTCTACCGCAAGAAGTGGTCACCATTTAATGTTAAAACGAAAGACAAACCCTTGCAAATCAATGTTCTCGATAATGGTAATCAGGCTACGTCAACTGACAACCGATCATTCCCAGAAAATATACTGAAGGAGCGATTAAAAGCTCTCCTTCTGGCATTTCACATTTTAGTGGCACTTGGCCTTTCACTCATGCTTGCTTACAACATCTGGCAGACTTCTTAAGCGGAAATTCAAGAAAATAAATTCACGACTATCTATATAAATAAATAACTTTCATATATAATTCAAATATGCTTGCAGCTTGATCATATGTTCTTTTTAACGCACTTCATTGCTTTATGCTAAATTTGATACTAATAAAACAAGAACTTGATTTGATGACTATTATCGAGTAGAAGAATACAGCAGACGTATAGATGTGTCTTGTATCTTTGATAATACAATCATTAGTTTCTGATGTCGAAAAAAAACTGCTGTTCTATTTTCGCTTGTAATGATAAAATCGGCGATTTATTGTGAACTGAGAGTTGTGCTCGAGGTCATATTTGAAATGCATTTGTTCTACGCTTCTTGATGTATCTCAGGCAATCTACACGATGGTATTAAGAAAGATTCATTTGTTTTATTTTTTTTACGTAAATATAGTCTAATAGAAGAAGTTATTCAATTACAAGTTGAATATATTACTATCACAAACAAGCAGACTAGCATTATTTATTGAAAGCAGTTGACACGAGAATGATTATGCCATGAATCTTAAACAAGAAAATCTTTCTTTTTTCCATCTTTAAAGAAAATAAAAGGTATTCTCATACCAATCGGTATTATTATTTTCTCAATTTATTTCAAATAACAGCTTCCTATTACTTGAAATCCAACGATAGCTGCACACTACGATAAATCCTATTGTATTTTATAAACATTTTTGCATCAGTAAGTGTCAGAAATAATCGCGCAAAGAATTCCTGAGACACATATGGCTCGTGATTTCTCTCCATCAGTTTCATTGCATAGAATGAGAGAAACCATTTACTTCGAATTGATTGATTTTAGAACTAGTATCGAATAACATTCCTTCCATTTAGATGAGAAGTGAGTTTTTTTGATTGCCAATTAGTCTAGAAAAAAAAGTCTCGTATCTTCGTGCAGGATAAGTTTTATATAGAATTCTTAGGTTGTATTCTAGTAGTTTAATCTAAATCAATGAACATAATTGACATTTTAAAATCGAGATGATGCTCTGCAACCACTCTGCTTTCCATAAAAACAAATATATCATACATACTTTATTTCAATTTGTTTCTTCTTTTAACGATAACCTTTTCTTTTTATCAAGTAGCTTAGTTGAGAACTGTTTTCCTATATGAATATTGCTTTTTCTTTCTTGCTTTGATATGTTTATTTCTTTAGCTTACGAATAATGCCTATTTACAGAATCATTTGTCATTTTTCAATAGATTGGAGTTGCAGTTGCCAAAAAATCGACACACGCCGTGCAATGCTTATCAATAACACAAAAATATCCCAATGTATCAACAGACCACAGAAAAGACGGTTTTCATGCCAACTGAATCTGAATCCAAAGTTTTTGTTCTATCGAACGATTGTCGACTTGGGTACCTTTGTTCTCAAAAAAAATATACACCATGAAAGATTCATTAAGAATGCTTCAGCAACACGAATGCAAGAATGGATTCGTCTAACAAAATCTGTAGTGAAATTTTCACTTTGTATATTGATGTATGTATATTGCTCTACTTTCTTTATTGATATTGGTTGAAAAGAGTTGATTCGGACTTTTACTCGCCTTGTTACATAAATGATGGATGTTCGTGTAAAATACAAAGAGATTGAATCGAATTCAATATGATAAGCCTACTATTCATTAAACTATTGTAGACAGTGCAGAGTGTACAATGCGATGAAAATTGAAGTGCTTTTTTCAACTATTCACCTTTCATATTCTGAAGATTTTTCAATTGAAAAATACTTCGTTTTACGAACATGAAGTATAGCTATGAAAAGATAATGTAGAATATCTTTGTTGTTAAAAGATGATTTATTTACGGTATTCATACATGTTTCAATGTTATTGTTCATATCTTACATGACTGATTAGTTATTTCTTGTTGTTCGTTGATTTATATTTTAAATCATTGTAATATAACAACACTGGATATATTCTCCTCATCTAGTTCATGCAATTCATTGAATACTTGTGTGCTTTTGATAACAACAGCTTTTTGCTTCCAATCAATAATAATCATCATCAAAGTACTATGCAAAAATAAAAACTTACGGGCTGTGACAAAAAAGCAAGAGGAACGAAAACCCATGATAGACAAAGACAAGATCAAGAAATTGATAAGATGTCATGGGTAAGGTAGAGTTACCGAAAGTAGACCTATCTGACCTTTCATGTGAATCAATAATGCTTTTTATCAAGATGAAACAAGAGTTAGAAAAACAAATCATTAATTTAATTTTTCTTATCTACAATACATTCGAACGATTTACCATAAAGATCTATGAGCTACAAATTTCTAAATAATAAAAAAAATGTTGTATTTTGTTTACTCTTATTATTATATTCTTTTTTATCAGAACAATGCTGTTTGTCAATGTATTTACAATATTATTTGTATTAATGACGATATTGACTGCTGATTTAGGTCTAGGTTGGGTGTGAGTGTGAGTATCAATGTGAATATAGACTAAGTCTACACTCATATCCACGACCACTCACACCCATATCGTTCTTGTTATTGATGAAAATGATTTATTTCCGAAACGTTAACCAATTTGATATTTATTGCGATCACCATTTGTAGCTTTGATTCCTCGATAATATAATTGCTAAAATTTGTCACTAGGTAATAAATACATGAGTGTCGCATGTTCAATGAAGTTGTCTATATATGGCTATGTATGCAAAAGAAACGGTGAACGAATAATCAACAGACAGACCCAGTCAAATTGATAATACGACACGTAGTAGTTTAGTGTGCATTTTCTCTATCGGTTGATTCAGTCTCATATGACTTGTTCTCAGAGGTTCCAACTCCACTCTGATTAGATCATCGATTGGAATATAAACGATGTATCATGTATAGGCAAAGATCGACCACCATGAGTTGAAGAGGTTGAGCTTTTACAAAAATAAGTACGCTCGTAGCGGAAAATAGAATGTTTCATTTATTCACTTTTCCATTCCTCAGTATACATAAATGGTGTTCCTCTCTCTCAAACACGATTTATCATGTTCTCAAGTGGGTTCAACGTATAAATGATCATCATGAAACATTTTTCTCAACGTCAATAGGTTTTAGAATTTCGAATGTAAGAACGAAACTATAAACATTATTCAATTATTTTCACTAACTTCTTCGACAGAATGAAAATTTGTAAGTATGAATTGAACCTGTAAAAATCAATACATATATATCTATTTTTCATTGATCGACAATAATCAGTATCAATCATCGATTCTCTAACGGATAGTTCAATTGGATAAAGAATATCACAGAGTGAATGTGGCGCTATTCCATTTGAATTCAGTTTTCTATGTTGATGAGAAACGGTAGTCATCGGATTCTTAATATACCTCTGACTTCTTGTGAAGTAGTCTTTCTCTAGCAATCTATCTATATTTCACATATCTTTGCTAAAAGTTGACACAGTTTCACAAGGACAACGACTTAATTTATAATTAAGGGAGGAACGAAATGTTGTTCTTTTGTAACGTATCAATCATTCGACTACTTCATTATGTGTTTATTCATATAGTGAAACTCAAGCACTAAGATAGTCTTATTGTCGATTACGAAAAATCAAGTTGTTATTAAACAATTCTCGCATTTTAATGTGGTCGACAATTCGCAGCAATGTCAAGACATTATCTCTAAGCAATTCTCGTTGAAAGGAAGAAATTTAAAAAAACATAGATTTCTTCTGACAACGAAACTATTGTTTATATTTCACTCAATAGGCGAAGAGTAGAACTTCATTAGCGTAGTAGTAATCTAACGAACAGCAAAATTGTATGGATATTGAAAAGTCTTTTAGCTGTATTAAATAATGGTTTCAAGAATAAAAACATCAAATTTATCATTATTGAAGAAAACCGGATAAAACAAACCGTAGATGTTTTTGAATATCACTTGTAATATATTAGTAAATGACAAGTTTTGAAAGCATTTGTTTTTGTTCATTTTTAATATTATCGTATATGAAACGCGACAAACTAAAATAGAAATTGTTACTATTAGAAACTCCAACAATTATATGGGTTTCACATTGTGATTTTTCGCCCGGTTAACTCAAAAATTTCAATCGATTGATCCGATCTGGTCTTAGTATTTGGATTTACGACTACGTATCGACGTGTTTATTGGCATCAGTTACCATCGTACTCATACATGTTTCTCGTGAATACTGAGAAACGATTTCTTTCTCTTCATCTAAATACATAGTAAAAAGTTATTTGACTAGTTAAATAATACTTACTGTTCATTCAAACAATCAGATGATCTAAATAGAAGAAAAAAATATATATTTATTTTTATATAGCAATAATGACTGTTGAAATGTGTCGTAAAATCATCGATTAATCACCAAAAGTGACACGATTTTGATGACACGAATAAGGTCTATCGGGAGTATTCTTATTCTTAAGTGTAACTTTATGATAATCAAAGATATATAAATAAAAATAATCGACCTACTAGTTGTTAACTGTTAAAAATATACATTTGTCAAATAACCGATTTTCATGAGTCATTCCAACAAGTAGCCAAAATAATAAAAATTTCTATTAACTTATATTGTTTAGATTGGATTTCTTCTTACAAAAAAATACAAAGGGATTTCCAAGCACATTTATGTACTTATATATATATTTCATTGTATTTCAAAGTACTTCTTTACTACAGAAGCACGTTTTTTTCCTGTTTGTATCATACTCGTCCTCACAAATGTTGTTCGTTCGTATATCATATGTGGACATGGATCATAAATCAATATCATCCATTCGATCTTTTATTTTTCAAAATATGTAAATAATTATGGCATTGGATAACTAAGTAATTGATCAGCATCAATTCCTGTTTCAGTAAAACCACGTACTACGCGTCCATGTTAGTAACATTATATAGCCGTGAACTATTAGTGTCATCTCTCTTCAATCTTTTTAATAATTTTATTCTGATAATTTCAAATTGTAGAACGCTTCTTTTCGGTATTTTTTTTCCCTCGAACATTTTTATTTTCGACATTAGCCATAGAAATCAAATAAGATATACACAGAAAAATAATTACTTCCATATAACTTGTCAACTAATGATCATATAAAATGGTTTTTATTATCAAATGAGGCAAAAACTATTTTTTTTAAAAGGAAAAGAATCTTTATTAAATATGATTATTTCTTTTATTATCATGCGATTGATTATTGCAATTTATTTTAAAAAAAATGAAGCAAGTGATATTTTATATATATATATATGTATTTATATGTCGTCTTTTTTTTTAATCTATTTTTAAAAATTACAATCATAATGAGTAATAAGAAATATAGACATCCATTACATATCCTCTTTTTTCCCCCTTATATATGCGTCATAAATATTCATTCATTTTTACAAACGCACAACAAGCATAGAAAGCATGATATACAGTTAGAGAGCGTGTCCTAGTCGATGTTGAAGGCTGTATAAATGTTTCGCTTGATTGATTTTTTTTTTCTCACTTCAAGCTCATTTTTTCTTCTGTATACACACAACATCGTCGTCAACAAGCCATTCTCTATTCGAAATATTACATTTTTATTATACTAAAATCAACGATGACAAGTAATAATGTTGGAAAAATAGGAAACTTTGGTAATATTGTTTATGATTCTGATAATGATACGCCTAATTTAAAGAGACGAATAGGTGTTAGTGCAACTGAAGTTGAACTTCTAGATGATATACCACCTGCATTAGGATCAGGTATAACAAGTTCTGAAAATAATGTATCTGATAAAAAACGAATATTTGAATCACAAATACCATCATCAGTAATAAATAAAGAAAATCAATCAAATAATTATCAAACATTATCTTTTAATAAAGAACAACCAAAATCAAATATTGCTTATCAAGATAATAATGATCAACAACTTAATCTTGCAGTTGATAAACTTTTAGAAAAATATGCACCAGAGTAAGTATTATTTTTCTATCGAAAAATGTAAAAAGAGTAATTCATTTTATTTTTGTTTTTTTGCTTTTTAAGTGCTCTTCCACAAAATGTAATAAATACGTCTACTAGTCGTCAACAACCTTCGCAAGTCAATGTAGTAACTGCGCGTGATGATCCATCATTTTCTACATTTCAAACAAATGCTCCATCATCATCAACAACTGCAAATAATTATTCAAGTGTAATTCGACCAAACAAAGGACAAATATTTCAAACAAACACACAAACAAATAATAATAATAATAATAGTCAACCGTTCATACGTTCACATCCAGAAGTTAACTATGATAGTACTCAATATGCTAATTCATCACAAAAACCTCAACCATCAGCATCTATTAATTCTCGAAATGGCAATTTTCCTTCGGTTGTGCCTGGTAAATTATATGCTTTAGTTGATGATCCACTACATATATTTTACGACAGACAATATCCAACTTCTTCTAAAACAAAATTACCATCACAACAACAACAACAACCGTCTTTTCAAACTACATTTCAACCTTCAAATAATTTTCAAACAACTCAAGATCCTTCAGTAAGTGTATTTACTAGTACATCAAGAAGAAATCCTCAACAACCAATACCAACAACAATCAATAAGAATTCAAATGGTTTGGAATCACTTAATCTCGAAAACTTAATAAAACGTGTTCAACAAGATTATTATCAAGAAATTAAACCATATGTATCAAGTGTTCGATTTGTTGAAAAAGATCGTGAATATGGTCAAAGTTTAGCAGATATTGGTTTTATAACACCGATTAGTGTTCGAAGAGGTTTTACTAAACAAGCAGATGATATTTTACGACGTAGTTTTGGTCGACAAGGTCATCGACAACAACCTGTTAATCTTCCTGATTCTAATGATTATTCTGATGACGAAGGACATGACGATATAGATAAACTTCGTCGACCAAATCGGAATCGTCCATTAGAAAAATTTGATTCTAAACAATCATTTACTTCTGTTACATCAGTATCAACATATAGTAGTGATTATGATGATCGATATTCATTACCACAAGATCGAAATAAAATAAATGTTCGTGATCAATCAACATCACCACCTCGTAAGACAATTAAAATCTAATAAGAATACTTGAATCAATATTTGAAAAAAAAAAAAAAATTTTTTATTTTTAGCAAAACTAGATCAAACAAAAGCACAACAAGGAATACAAAGTAAGAATATTATTAGTAAATATTTTCTATTTTGTTAAAATATATTACGTATATATTAATAATAGATATTTTATCTCCTAAAATCTTATAAATTAATTCATATATATATATATTAAATCTTGATTTTGTTCAGATCTTCTTCCTGCTTCTACGATTGCTCCAGTAAAACCAATGACAAGAGATGACACTGATGAAGAAGTTGAAACACCAACAACCAGTCCTCGGATAGCTATAAAGCCTGCAAAGCGTATTCCATTAGATCAATATTCAATAAGTTCTGCTGAACAGACAACATCCATTGATGAGGAAGACCCTATAGCTAACTATAACGAACATGACAATGCTACTAATTCTCGATCAAATGTACCTGGAGCAGCTAATAATATAATTAAAAGTTCTCCTATTGTAGAACCTATCGATAAAAAAACAGTAAATCAAATACAACAACGTAGTGAAGATATTCATCCAGTACCACCAACAATTCGTGGACCACAAACAAATGTAACTTCACCAAAAGATTCTCGAATTCCAGTGAAAAGAATTGATAGTGACGGAAGTGATATAGATCTATCTGACACAGACGAAGCTACTGACACTGATGATGACAATAAACCACCGGCACCTAATAATAAATTACCAAGTCCATCAATAACTCGATCAAATGTTCAACCACCTTCAACTAATACACCAATTGTACGACCTCCAACTGCACCACAAACGAATACTCGTGATCCAACACCACAAACAAATATTCGTGGTCCAGCATCACAAATAAATACTCGTGATCCAGCACCACAAACAAATACTCGTGGTCCAGCACCACAAACAAATACTCGTGATCCAGCACCACAAACAAATACTCGTGGTCCAGCACCGCAAACAAATACTCGTGATCAAGCACCACAAACAAATACTCGTGGTCCAGCACCACAAACAAATACTCGTGGTCCAACAACACAAAATGTACCACCTACTGCTACACAAACAAATATTGATAATAATGCAAGACAAGCTGGTGGATCAACAGTAAATCCAACAAGTAAATATTTTATAAAATTTATTTTTTTTTTTTTCTTATTATAAATTTTTGCCTCTTCTTTAACTTATTTTGTAATATTAGATCAACGAAATGCACCAAATGAACGAACTACAGCTGCTGCTGGTTCTACAAGCACGGGTAAATATTCGCATAGAATATTTCTTGAAAATATCATGACTTTGTTTATATGTATTTAGGTTCGACTCGTTTATTTAAACCAGAGGCTAATTCTAGGTCTGCAAGTAAAGGTTCAGTTAAAGATGGTTCATCTACACTTGGAAATAAATTCAAATCAATATTTCGTCGAAAACAATCTTGATAAGAATTAACTCTGAATTGAATTATTATACGATTTTCTGCATTTGTAAAACTTAATTTATTTATTTATTTTTTTTTGCTTTTATTAAACTATGGAGCTATTTACTTGCATTTCAAAATATATAAAACAAAATAGAATGAGATTATTCTATATAAGTGAACATTTGAAATAAATTTTTCTTCAAAAAATAAAAAAAAAAAAAGATTTCATTTCAATAGTTAATTTGAATGTGTTCTTTTTTCTTATAACTAAAACTATAGTTATATGATTGATATGAAGCTGTGACTCTATTGGATTTTACAGCTTAAATAAACTTTAAATATAAAAATTTTAAAATATAATATGTATTGTTTGCACGACATAAAAACTAGTCACTTTTTTTTGGATTGGTTAGAGTAAGATTCATTTTCGATTCATATTATATTACATATTTTAATCGAACAATCTTTATTCATGATTCTTTTAAGATAAGTTGGAAGAAATTTGTTTTTTTTTTACTAATAATTATCTTTTCTCGGATTCTATAAAACAATCAAAATAAAATTTCAAACATTGTATCATAATTAGCTAATAATTAATAGAAATATGTTTCGTCTTGTATTATTATTTTAATCATTCTAATCAATCTTGATAAAATAAAACATAGAAATCATGCGCAAACAACGTCTGACAAAAAGTTGCTTTCTTTTAAACCTTCTACGGTGTGAATGTGGATATGATGACGATGTTGTTAATAGTATAGAAAAATTCTTCGAATGTCCATATGTGTCTAACTCTTTCTTCTCCTCTGTTGGAATTAGTCCGGTTTAGGCTAATCACTCTGTGTCTCTTCTTTTTTCGAGACGTCATTTATTGATGATCTTATAGATACTCAGCAATAAACAAATAAATCAAAGTACAGGATGTGAATGAGGGTATTAATGAAGAGAAATCCCACAATCACATTCAAACCCATACCTCAATTATTATCAATTTATGTTTATCGTAAGAACATAAAGAAAAAAGAAATGAATAGTAGTTTAAATATTTCTTTAAGTAATAGATTTATCTCGTGAATCTTTTATTGATTTTATTCTCAATCATTGCAATCGGAGTTTATCAAAAGTAAATAATAAGTAAAACAGTTTTGATTGACATATTTATTTTTACTCAGTACTTGAACTTTAGAACAATTCAGAACTATCGAAAGATTTCTATCAAATTAAATATATTATTAAAATTAATCATTGTGTTATTAGTTCATTATTTGATTCTTTTCATGATAAACCTAAAATTTTTTCTTTTTTTTATAATGGGTCATATTTTCTGTTTAGTTAATATTTATCGAGACAATAATGATCATATAGGAGTCATTCAAATAAAATTTAAGTACTAATGATGAATCTGATTCTAGAAAAGTCTTCGACTAAATTCAGCAAATACTATGGAAACGATGATAAGGCTGTTTATCTCCAGTCAATGAAATAATCCTTCAATGTCCAATTTGTATTAATCATTTAATTAGGTATATAACAACACTATTGTTAATAATTCTAATTTCAACATTTTTGTACATTATACAATTTGATTGACAGTATTCTTCGTAAACAAAATAATGTTAATCATGACAGAGATAGACACAATGGAAATGTTCATGATAATAAACAAGATAGGAAAAATCCAGCAAATTTGATGAGTAAGAAAGAAGAGTCCTAGGTGACCAAAAAAAAACAGAAAAGGGAATAATCCATGCGTCAAGAAGACGAAGAAAAACAAGGGAATAATCCCATACGACATGAAGAAGAAAACAAAAAGACAGGTAAGAAAAATAAAACAATGCAGTGGGATAGATCTTATTCATCTCATGACAACATGATTAGTTTCTATAAGAGTATTTTTAGTACTTATTTTTGATCAATACAAATATTTAGATGTATTGAGTTGTGATTAAAAAACAACGGAGTTATCTTGGAAGTGGTGATGTACCAATTCCAATGCTTAGAGCTAATCAAAATTGGAATTGGTGCATCCTCACTTCAAAGCATTCCTTTATGTCTGCATTTCATAATAATATCAGTCAAAATAGTCTTATCATTAGATATTATCATCAATAACTAACAAACCAAGTAAAGTCATTTTCTCATATACATTTAGAAATTGCGAGAGAAGCTATGATCATACAGGTAAAGTACACAAAATGATAGTGTACTGAAATGAATACTAAGTTATTATCGAAAGGCAGCAATTACTTATCTTCACTTATGACCATCTAACCTCGACGATCTATGATAGAAAATAAGTGACTATTCTCGTTTTCAAAATGAAGAATAATCATTTAACGTATTGATACTTTTCTATTAAACTAATACAATAAATTTATTTGAAAGAAAACTAATGTAAAAGTAATCGTTCTTCACATGCCAATAATTATGGTGCCCGAATCCATGAATTTCTGTCAGATTCACACCGGAAAGCTCAAGAAAATGATAGGAGCTTAGAAACAAAAAATCAATGGTCAAGTTTTCGGCTAAAGACAGCATGTATTTCTTAACATGGGTTCCTGTTGTTTTACTTGTATGTCTTATATTTGTAAAGCATCGTGACCTTAATCATATTTGTTTCATTAAAAAGAAAACTCGGCATACTAAAATTTCTTTAGCATTTCGATATAAATTTTTGCAATAGTGTATTAAATTTAAAAAATTAATTGATGTATGTTTAAATTTTAGTATAGCATATTAGTACATTTTGAAATAATATTCTCTTTGTTCAGAAGACAATAAAATTTTTCGTATAAATATCCAAATTAATTTGATTAACACAAATCGAGTCAAACAAATCTTTTTTTTTTCAAACTAAAGTTTCTATCGAAACATAATATTCTCTCCAATGACATTATTTAGAAATTATTAATTGATTTATACTCTTCTTTGTAAAGAACATATTTCATTCTGAGTTGTTGGGAAAAATAGAATGATTAGTTAAAGTTTTTGCTAATTTTATTAGATTATTATTTGTTATAAAATGCTATTTTAATAAATGAACTAAATAAGCTATCAAAAACATATAAAAATGCAATCTAGATATACCAAAATCTTAACTTAAAAATTCTTGTTTTTTAATTATTTCTTATTTGATAAAGATCATAAAGTACTGTATAGTAATCCTTCGCGTTTTTTTTGACTTTCTTGATCCTCACTGGAGTTACTGTTTTGTGTTGCGCTGATCAAAAGATCAGATAGAGTCGTACGATTTTCGTTTAAAAGATGTTACAAACTTGTTGGTCTCGCATTTTAAACGAAACTAAAATCATTATGACTACGTATGAATATAATTGATTGAGTTTAGTTTCGGCTTGATGAAATTTGTTTAACATTATTAGCTTAGTATATGTCTGTTTTGCATTGATTAAACGAAAACCATGTTGGAATTCGTCGTTGTCAAAGAAAGATTGATTGTTTGTGCATTATTTTTTCTCTTTCATAAACTTAAAATTTCTTTATCTTTTTCTGTTGATTTGATGATGCCATAGGCTTCGATTACTTAGTAAATATAGCTGCAGAGTTTTAGTCAAGAAATTGTTTATACTATAGTATAACAAAGAGCGAGAATCTATAAAGTCGTTTTACGACTCTCCATGAATTTGAGATTTTTGTATTGGAATTTAGTCAGTGACGATCTCTGATCATATTCGATAAGTGAAAATTGCGATAAATAACATCATGGTTTTTGAAACTTGAAATACTTAGCAGGGATTTGAGAAAATAAATCTCTCTATATTTCTATCACAAAATGTCTAGGTATATTAATTTAAGTATCCTGACCACAATTGTGATATTTACAATGAATAGAATTATATTGCTTGATGGGTACAACGAGCTCAATGCAGTTACCCAATTGATTCCATGGTTGAATCCTGTTACCTTGTGTGTAGGTGCAAGTATGGACGCATATCGATAAAAGTACTGTTCATTTCGTGAATATATAAATTTTTAAGTGAACAAACTGAATTAATTAGTAATACTTTAATTTTAATTCTGTTCTCAATGTTTATTAAAGTAAGTTTATCGCTATAAAACTTTCTTTCATATCTCTGTTCACTGTATTTATCAATGTCCTCTGTAGAAAAACAGTATCTATTTTGAAAATGAGTTACTGATGATTATTCGTTTCTTTTCTAACAACGTATGACATCTTTTCATGCTTCTTCCTAAGGCATTTCGTCATTGTATGAAAACTAAAAGATTTATTAAAAAACCATCATCATGTTTATACTATGAGAGAAAAAACATAAGTGGAATTTTAATGAGGAAATCTTCTCAATGACGTTTACTTTTGGTGGATATTCAATTAAAATTTAACAAATTATTCTCATAATTCATATCTTTGACTAACGAATACGCTACTAAGAACAAAACTTTTTCAAAAATTCTTCTGTTTCTTACTGATGTTTATTGACATTGACTCATTTTGTTATTACTAAGTATGATAACGTGGCTACATGATACATTCAATTTCTTCAAATTCTCAAACACAAATAGATTTCTTTGTCATCAACATATTCAATAAATGGCAACAGCAACGACAAATGATCGAGCAAAATGTTTTACATGTGAAAAAGAAAAGATTGTATATCTATGCGGTGGATGCTCGAAAAAGTTTTGCTTGAACGATTTAACAGAACATCGTAAAGATCTTGGCAAACAATTTGAGGGAATTGAAAATGATCGTGATCAGTTTTACCAAAAACTTGTTGAACAAAAACAAGATCAAAGACGGCTTCCATTGATGCAACAAGTTGATAAATGGGAGGAAGATTCAATTAAGAAAATAAAACAAACAGCTGAAGATTGTAGACAAACATTAATTGAATATAATAATAAACATTTTATTGAAATAGAAAAAAAATTATCTCAATTAACTGAACAATTAAAACAAAGTCGTCAAGAAAATGAATTTAATGAAATTGAGTTAGACCGATTCAAAACAATTTTAACAAAACTAGCAGAAGAACTTGGTCAACCAGCAAATATAAAGATTCAACAAAATTCTACATCATTAATAAACAAACTTTCAGTTGTTGTATCATCTGAAATTAGTCAAGAAAATCAATTTCATGAAATTGATTTTAACCACTTTAACATAGAAGCATCAGAAGACCTTTTTCGATCCTCAAGATATCCAACCCCCAGAGTTTCTAGTGCATCATATGGTAAGTATGATATTATTAAATGAATTAATGAAAGAGTGTGTAAGTAGAAAGACATACAAATTTTTCAAAAAATTTGGTTGAAACGGAGAACGGAAAACTATTAAGAGTGATTCTCTGAGAAAATCAGTCACTATCAGACATCGACGATGGAGCGACATTCCAGAATCCGCTGATTCTTTGATATGTTATAGAGGATATCGAGTTATGTATATCTTAAAATTTTCAGCTCTATCCGACAAGTTTTGATATCGAAATGACTTCAA